CCCCTCTGCCAGAGTTCATTTCTAAAGGAGTAGTTGGGCCACTTCCCTGATGGATACCCTGGAGTGACAGTCCTTATGGCTGTCACCTGTGGCCCCAGGGTCCTCACATCTGGCCAGCGCTTCCCCCTACCCTAGACTTGTCTCAGCTGCTGGCCCACCCCCTGGGCTTCCAGTCCAGACATCCTATAGCTCTTCTAAGGTGCCATTGTCTCTGCACCCTAGGGCCTTTCACCTGCTCCCGCCTCAGCCTGGAAAGCTTTCTCCTCCTTTTGCCTGTGGCTTGTTGATTCCTTCTCCTCCTCCAGACCTCAGCTTAAATGGCAGCCACCCCCAAATTCCTCACCAGAGCAGGCTCCCCCGTCCCTTCCTTCCCAGGGCCATAGCTTCCCTTCCCAGCATTCGCCACGGCCCATCCTGATGCATTTGTTCTGTGGCTGTGGGAATGCTGTCAGCCTCACTGTGTAGCCTGTGAGCTCCATGTTTCTGTCTTGACACCGGTCTTCACACAGTGGGTTCAGAAATGCTGAGCCCCTGAACTCATGACAATGAAGTTGGGCGCAGCCATGATCCACTTAGATGGTCCTTATTTGTAAAATGGGGACCCTGAGATCGGTTCATGGGGTGGTTGAGGACCGGCTGGAACTGTACCATTGTTGCACAGAGGCGTCCGCGGATGGTGAGGACTGGGTGGAACTGTACCGTTGTTTCACAGAGGTCCTGGGGTGGTTGAGGACTGGGTGGAACTGTACCGTTGTTGCACAGAGTTCCTGGGGTGGTTGAGGAGTGGGTGGAACTGTACCGTTGTTGCACAGAGGTCGGTGGTTGAGGAGTGGGTGGAACTGTACCATTGTTGCACAGAGGTTGGTGGTTGAGGACCGGGTGGAACTGTACCATTGTTGCACAGAGGTTGGTGGTTAAGGACCGGGTGGAACTGTACCATTGTTGCACAGAGGTCCTGGGGTGGTTGAGGACTGGGTGGAACTGTACTGTTGTTGCACAGAGGTCCTGGGGTGGTTGAGGATCGGGTGGAACTGTACCATTGTTGCACAGAGGTCCTGGGGTGGTTGAGGACTGGGTGGAACTGTACCGTTGTTGCACAGAGGTCCTGGGGTGGTTGAGGACTGGGTGGAACTATACCATTGTTGCACAGAGGTCACGGGGTGGTTGAGGACTGGGTGGAACTGTACCATTGTTGCACAGAGGTTGGTGGTTGAGGACTGGGTGGAACTGTACCATTGTTGCACAGAGGTCTGGTGTGTTGGATGTGAGGGCTGCACTCCAAGACTCCCTGCCTTTGCAGAGAGCAGCGAGACTTGTGGATGCACCCCTAACACTCCCACGTACACCTGTGATCCAGCTCCACTCAGCCATCCCCTCCCAGACCCCCAGGAGATGCGGGGACAAGTGTTGGAGCTAATGAGACCCCCTGGGGCCACACTGGTGCCTTAGAAGCCTCTGTCCACCACCCATGTTCAGGGTAATTTTCTCCAAAGGTGGCAGGAGTGGACACCCTCAGGCTTGAAGCTGTGGAACTCCCATCCCCTTCCCTATCCAGAGGGCCTAGGGTTTTCCTAAGTGGTGTTTCAGACAGAGGCTTCTTCTGGCAGGGGAGAACATGGAGCACCTTATTCTTCTCCAGACTGTGCAGATACACTGTGCGTACGCCTATGTGAGTGAGATATACAGTGTGAAAAGGAGAAATCACTCTCTGGGAAGACAAGATCCTTAAACCTGTATCTTCATTTTCTTGTCATTTTGTCTCCCTCTGGTGGTGTCAGCTTAGGGTCAGTGCAAGACTTGAGCAAAATCACAGCAATTTCTACCCAAACATGTGGGGCTAGCTGCTTTCATTTTCTAGTGAAGCTGTTGGATTTGGGTTCTGTGTTTCCTGCGGATGTCGAGAGCCGTGCCTGTGAATGTGGTATACGCCCTGCACCGTGCCGCCCCCATTGGACTCTTCTCTGGGTCTGGGTTCTCCTCCCATGATGCACGTGAGTGGGAGGCAGGAGGCTCGGGCCACCGTGGGCTCGACTGTTTCCCACTGAACAGAAGAGCGAGGCAGGCGTGGAAGGCCCCCCCGCCGAGGTGGGTGGTGGCTGGAGCTGCAGCAAGGCCCTTGAGTGCTTCACTGGCCTCGTCCTGGAAGCAGGCATCCTGGGTGCCAGCGGTGACCCCCTGCCTGGGATGGGGTACCCTTCACCCTCAGGAGCCTGTGCCCAGATGGGCCCCAGAGCTGGTGATGCTCACTTCAGGGGGAGACGAGGCCAGTCTTCCCTAAATCTACTCGAGGACATGGGTCGACACGGAAATGTGAACCTTGGAAGGGTCTGGTGCGCTGACCAGGGCCACCCTGGGGGCTGGCGAGGGAGAAGCCAGGGGGCAGTGCCTGGGAAGGTAGGAGTCAGATTCCAAAGGGAAGGCTGGCCTCCCAGCCTCCCCAGGGCCTGGGGCCAACAGGGTGCCAGGCAGCCCCCGCCACAGAGGAATAAGGACACTTGCCCAAGGCCCTGGTCACCTGCTGGGGCTGTGAGGCTGGGGTACCTGGGGCGCCTGGAAGAACCAGAGCTTTCCTGCAGAACAAAGTGACGCCATCTTGTGGTCAGTGAGAGCCACTGCATTGGGTGCCGCTGGGAGGCTGGGACTTCACTGGGGGGTGCCTGTTGAGCCATGCTCACTGGGGATGGCAAGGTGGTGTGAGGTAGTAGAAACGGGCCTACCGCAGGCGCCGGGAGCCTTCCCAGCCCCACAGCCGGATGCCATAAAAGGGAGCACAGGGGATGTCTGGCGAGCCTGTGGCAGCCGAGGCTGTCATACATGCTCTCCAAGCCCCCCAGCCAGGCAGACGTGCATCCTTCACTCTGAAGAAGCCTCAGGGTAGGGTGGGGGTGCTGCATTGGGATAGCTGGATCCTGTTCCCTCTGTGGGGCTGCCTCTGATTCCCCTGGTGACAGGCCCCAGTGAACCCTCTGAGGGACAGATGGGCAGGGGTTCCTCCCCTGGTGCCACCCCTGAATCCCGTAGTCCCCCACATTGGTGCCTGCAACCCTGCCCAGCTGGAAGGAGGTTTATCAGCTCCAGAGCAAGGGGTGACTGGAGGATATTTAAAAGCCGTGGGAGGACGCCATTGACAGGACTCAGGTGCACAGGGGAGGGATAGAGCGGTCCTGTGAGGAGACACAGCTGGGAACACAGGTGATCCTCTGACCCCAGGGGCACGCAGACCCACTACTGCCCAGGAAAGCAGGGCCAAGTGGGCTGAGCACCGAGGCAAAGCTCCCCACCTGGTCTGTCTGAGCAGGCGAGGGAGGGGCAGCCAGGAGTTTGAGGCAGTGGAGGAGTCTGGAGTAGCTCTTGCACGGAGGAAGAGGCTGAGCTTCCCAGAGAGACAGATGAGAGTTGTGAGGGTGTTTGGGGGCATTTGGGGTCAGGAATTTGCAATACATTTACCATAGCACTCATTTGCCCTCTTGGGCAGCTTTTTCCAGCCTCAGGTCCAGAGAAAACAGGTTGGAGATTTGCTGAACTCCTGGGGTCAGATACACAGGACCGGGGGCAGATACACAGGACCGGGGGCAGATACACAGGACCGGGGGCAGATACACAGAACTGGGGTCAGGGAGCTGCGGATACTGGGCAGATGTTGTTGAGGTGGTGGATGGCGGCACCCAAACTGGGCCAGTCGATGATTTTAACAACGGAATGGGTTAGAGGTGAGACCAGGGATCAGCTGGCTGAGGGAGGGAAGAGGTTAGGAGGCTGCTGGCAGCGAGGGCTGGGGAAGCGCAGGATGGCTGGGCCCATAATGCTGGAGGGACTCAGGGTGGGGCCAGCTGGAGCAGGAGGGGAGCCAGGAAGCCAGGGCCAAAATCCCTGACGAAAAGGGCTCTGGCCAGGAGGTGGGCAGTCAGGAGGGATAAGGCAGGTGACGTGGCCAAAATGGGTCTGAGAGGACAACCCAGCCATGGTCTAGGGTAGCTCAGAGGTCAGCTGACTGCAGCCCCAGTGGCAAATTCTCCTGTCCCCCTGATTTTGCATATAAAATTCTCTTGGCACACAGCCACACCTCCTCTGTTATATATTGTCTCCGGCTGCCTTTGCACCTCAGGTACAATGGTGAATGGTTGCAACGGAGACCACAAAGCCTAAAACACATACCGTCTCGCCCTTTACAGGAGAAGTTTGTCCACCCCTAGCTGGAGCCCTACTGTCTGGCATAGGAGCCACTCAAGATTGGTTTGTGGGCAACGTGGACAGAACTTGGGGGTCGGCTGGATATGGCTCTAACATGTGGCTCTTTATATTTCAATTAATTAAAATTACATACAAGAAAACGGTCCGGTCCCTCAGCTGCAGGAGCCACAGTGCCAATGCTCAAAGCCTCATGTGGGTAGTGGCTCCTGTGTTTGGGCACTGCAGAGATAGAACCTTCCATTGTGACTGGCGGGAAGGTTTGTTGGGCCACGATGGTCTAGGGGCAGCAGATGGAACAAGCATGATGTTGCCAAGCCTGGGCCTGCGGTGTGATGGGTGTGAGGAGCTACACGGGCGTCCTGAGAGGCTACAGACAGGCAGGAGCCTCGTGGGACAGATGCACAGGGACCAGCCAAGGAGAAGCCCTGGGCACAGTCAGGTCACCAGCATGAGTTCCGGGGCTGTGGGCAAAGCATGGAAAGTGCTGTCGTGTTTGGGATGTGACACCTTCTGGATTTGCAGCCTGTGATTGTCACCTTGAGTGACAGTCATCTGGAATCCTGGCGTTGTCCTCCTGACACCGTTTGTGCAGAGTTTTCTGGCCCACGCGTTGATTTTGTGCGGTTACTTGCAGCACGGGCCAGTGAGGGAAGAGACCGGCCGCCCGTGGCTGGCTGCAGATCGCGATGGTTGGGCCCTTCTGTTTTGCATCCTGGCTGCCGTGTTCCTTGTGCTGTGGCCAGGCATGCAAGCCCTTTGTTCAGGGGACTTCTCCTCTAGGAAGACTCTGACTCTGTGCCCTCCTTCAGTTCCAGGGCCCTGTGAACCAGAAGACCTCATCGATGGGATCATCTTTGCTGCCAATTACCTGGGGTCCACCCAGCTGCTGTCAGAACGGAACCCTTCCAAAAACATCAGAATGATGCAAGCACAGGAGGCCGTCAGCCGGGTCAAGGTAGAGGTGCTTCCAGGGCCTCTCAGGGATGCCCACACACTTTGGGGGGCACTGGCGGGAGGGAATGTGGCGGGGCTTAGGCCCTCTTCCAGCTCTGACTGCAGAGCCCTCGGCACAGGGAGCAGGAGTGGCCCAGGTGCCGATGAGGCTGAGGGAGGCTCGCGTCTTGGCCGGGAAGAAGCTGGCTGGGCAGAGGCAACCAGCTCCTTAACAGGAGGCCCACGGAATCCCAGAAATACGACCTTTGAAGATCATCGTTCCAAAGCATTCTAGTCCTAAAACAGTCCCAAATCCCAGTTCCACAGTACGTGTATTTTTAGTGCCATTCGGAGTGCTTCCAGAAAGGGGGGAAAATATATCACGTTTTATTTAAATTCAGAACCTCAAGAAAAACTTTGACCTGCTTGTAGCTCTGAGTGCTCTTTGGATTGTTTGGTTTTTAACATTGGGTGAGCCCGGGCAAGGGGAAGATGAGACCACATCAGCAAAACTAAATGGGGTCGGGGGAAGGGGGCACAGCCATCTGAGGTCTCAGCTCTCTGAGCAAGACAAGATCTGCAGATGCCCACCAGCCCAGGGGTGAGACATGGGGACAGCCTCCTCCCCAGCCCTCACCATATACAACCTTCTCTAACAGAAGAAGAGGAGCACCATGAGGCCATCCGGGGTGGGCAGGAGGAAGCCAGGTAACCCAGGGCAGTGCTGAGCCCTGCTGGCCAGTGCCCCTCAGCAGAGGCCTGGCCCTCCCACCCCAGACACTTGCCTTGCTCCGCTGCCTGGAGCTCAGCTTGCCTTCCTGCCGGCAGATGGCATCTTTCCTGTCCTCCGTAGATGGGGTGGTTGGCAGTCATTTTTAGCACTCCAAGGACACCTGTGTGGGCTTCTCTTGGTCAGTGTGTGTGCTTGAAGCGGGCAGTGGCTGTCCACCCGTCTCTGCTGGGCTTTGCCAGGCACCAGGCCTGAGTATGGGGGCGTCAACCACCAGAGTGACATAACCTCACACGCCTTCCTTCTCTGCGTGCCAACCTGTTTTTATTTTCTCTTCCATGCTCTCAGAGGATGCAGAAGGCTGCTAAGATCAAGAAAAAAGCGGTGTGTAGGGCCTTGAGGCCCTGGGACAGTGTTTGCTTGTGTTCCCATGGCTTGTCCTGGGCGGTGGGGGCCGGGGGGGTTGCCCTGGGGATCCAAATGATGTTGCAAAACAACTTTTCCTCGTCCCTTGGTGGGTGAATCTTGGATGTTTGTAAATGAAACCACAGACACTTCAGTTTTTTAGCCACCCATTTTGGAAGGATTTATTAGTTCCTCTTTCTTAGCATCTCCGATGTTCCTGTTTTACGTGGACATTTTAAATTGATATGACATTCAGTTGATATGGTAGCGTGGTGGGGCTGGAGCCTGGGCCTCCTGTGCAGTATCACTGAATTGTTCTGATAGCTAAAGATTCCTTGCACTTAATTTACTAAGTCGGGAGGGTGAGTAGTACACTTTGCCCGTGTGGGGCTTTCTTTATTGGAAATGAGTTTTTGGGCTGGGTGCAGTGGTTCACACCTGTAATCCCAGCACTTTGGGAGACAGAGGCAGGAGGATCATTTGAGCCTAGGAGTTTGAGACTGGCCTGGGCAACACAGTGAGACCCCTGTCTCCACAATTTTTTTTTTTTTTAATTAGCCAGGCATGGTGGCACATGCCTGAAGTCCCAGCTGCCTGGGAGGCTGAAGTAGGAGGATCACTTGAGCCTGGGAGGTCGAGGCTGCAGTGATCTGTGTTTGCACCACTGCACTCCAGCCTGGGCGACAGAGTGAGACCCTATCTTTTAAAGAAAAAAAAAAAGAAACAAAAACACGAAAATAAGTGTTGAAACACTGGCAGACTTTAAAAAATGGGTTGACATTGAGTCATTTGTTTGTCACCTGGTCATTTAGTAAATGCTAGAGCGTTTCCAATCCGCCTCATACAGAAAATACCAAAATAGTTGGTGTCACAAGGCTTGTTGCCCACTGTTTTCTTCTGTTTAAACAGCAGGATATTAGTTCCCCCTCCCTGCTTTGAAGTAATGCCATTGTCTGGCGCTGTGGTCAGAAGACCCCACGTGGGGACTCCCTTTTCTGCAGCGAGGCTTTGGTCCACCTAGGACGTCTACTTTGGTCCACCTAGGACGTCTACTTTGGTCCACCTAGGATGTCTACTTCTTGCCCAGTGGCGTCTCCTTTGATTCTGCTCAGGAGCAAGGGAACGATGGCGCTCATGCTCCTCTTCCCAGGCTGATTTCCTCTGAGCAAGGCAGAACGTGCCAAACATTGCAGACTTGCAGTTGGGGTGTGCTTTTCCCAAAAAAGAGGGGCCCTCGCTTGCAGCCTCCTGGTCCAGCTGGAGCAGGGAGTCTGTACGGACTGCAGCCGGCTTCTGGGACTTGCAGGTCCAGCAATCCTACAGAGTCACTGCCGCCTCTGGAGGGGTTGGTACAGGCAGACCCCGCTCAGAAAGCCCTCTGCGGCCAGCCAGGTGGCTGCCTGACTACATTGAATTACGGTTTGTTCTTCCTTTTTGGAAAGTGGGATGCTCAGTGTCATTGTTGAAGGCCCCTTTCCTGGCCCGGCCACAGCCGTGCGGATGACTGCAGGTCATGCCCCCCATCCACAGATGTGCCGAGGCCCACCCTGTGGCCTGTTCTCTGGTGTCTGTAGGATCCGTACTGTTGACACCCTCCCTTCTTCCGCCAAGGAGGATGACGGGTGTCCTCTCCCTGCCCTGTTACTGATGGGTTTTCCGCTCGAGCCTGGGTGGCTTCAGGCTGCCCCTCTTCTCCCATCCAGGGATCCCAGCCTCAGGTTTCCTCCACAATTGTCACTAATGCCAAGGTCCACCTGCAACTTTTCTCACTTACTTCTGGCTTGACCTACTTTTTAGCAAGAGGATTTTGAGCCACAATCCATGAATATAACCTTTAAATGCATGCTGATGCTGAATGTAACCAAATTTTTAAAAACAGAAAAAGTTCCTCCACGGCTGCAGATTGTCAGCTGCACTTCTTTCAACTCCTTTCTCTTTCTAATGAGTTAAAAGCAAAGAAAGCCCAAAAGACCCTTTCCCTTGAAAATTGAGCTAAAATACACTTTTATTATTACAATACCGGGCCTCTCTACAACTCGGAATTCTTGAGGAATTGTCAGCAGGGAGATTTCTTATTTCAGATTTTCTGGTGAATAATTAAATCATAGTTTTTGCCGTTTTGAAATGGAAGATAGACCACCCTGGGCTCCCCAGTGACCATGGAGAATTATTCACCTCGGTGGGCAAACTAATAGAACTTGAAATTCATTGCCACTGTGCAGTGGTAATTAGGATTCTTACAAATGTAAAAACCATTGAAAGGCTCTCCTAGTTTGGGGCAGACCCTGAAGAGTTCACTCAGCTCAGAAGAGCCCATGAAACCTGTCTCACAGCCATATGGCAGGCATGCTACAGTGGCTACAGGTGATGAATGAGGCCATTTGTGGGGCACGTCTCTTGGCTTCTCTGTGTCATTGTGAGGACAGCACTCAGGCCAGCCCCAGGGCTCAGTCCCCCAAGGCTGCTGTGGGGTGGACATGATGGTGACTGTTTAAATCAGAAGGAAAGGCTGACATTTTCATTCAGCTCCTCTGAAAATGTCTTCCCCATTTCTTAAGGATACTTAGAATCCCAAATCCAGGAAATGTAGCCTGAGTCTATAAATTCCACAGGGGTTGGCCAGAGGGGCCGTGCTTGCCACTGACAGGAAGGGCTGTGGCGACAGACCCAGGCATCCCACCCCATCTCGGTCAAGCTCCCGGCGGCCGACCCTCCTCCCTCCTGGTTGCCTCTTACAGACTGCCTCAAGAACTCACACTTAGCTAGGTGACACGGCCGGTGGCGTGCAGGCAGATTCCTGATGGCCAGTAGCATTTCCTTCTACGTAGACTCGCGATAAAATTGCTGAGCCTTCCTTCCAGTTATTACTTTTTACATTGACAGATAAAATTGTATTTACTATGTACAACATAATATTTTGGAGTATATACACATTGTGAAATGCCTACATCTAGCTAATTCACATGTGCATTACATCACATAGTTATAATTTTTGTAATGAGAACACTACATTCATTATCTTAGCAATTTTTAAGAATATGAAATATTCTTAACAGTAGTCACCACGATGCGCAATAGATCTCTGGAACTCATTTCTCCTGTCTAGCAGGAGCTCTGTGTCCATGGACCAGTACTTCCCCCTTCACTCCTTTTGCCCAGCCCCTGGTAACCACCATGCAGCTCTCTACTTCTACTGTGAGATCGACATTTGTAGATTCCACCTGAGCGAGATCGTGCAGTATGTATCTTTCTGTGCCTGGCTGATTTCACTACACAGCGTGTCCTCTGGGGTCATCCATGTGTTGGAAATGACACGGCTTCTTCTTTGCGAAGGCTGAGTAGGCCTCCAGCGTGTCTGCCTGCCACATTTCTTTATCCATGCCTCGTGAATAGACATTGGGTTGATCCCATGTCTTGGCTGCTGCGGATGGTGCTGCCGTGAGCATGGGAGTGCAGGTGTCTCCCAGACATGCTGATTTCACTTCCTTTGGAAATATGCCCAGCAGTGGGATTGCTGGATCACAGGGTGGTTGTAGCTTGAAGTTTTTGAGGAACTGCCATACTATTCTCCACAGCAGCTGCACTAATTCACACCCTCCCACAGTGTACCAGGGTTCCCTTTCCTCCACCCCACGCCAAGGCTGCTTTTTATCTTTTTGATAAAAGCCATTCCGACGGATATCAAATGATATATTGTTGTGGTTTTAATTTGGATTTATCTGGTGATTAGGGATGTTGAGCATTTCGTCATAATGCTATTTGCATGTCCTCTATTCCGAGTTGGTTTTTAGATTTTAACAGTATCCACTGTCTTTTCTTAGAATTCTGAGGGGGATGCCCAGACACTGACGGAAGTGGACCTCTTCATTTCCACCCAGAGGATCAAGGTTTTAAATGCAGACACGCAGGTAAGCGTTAAAGGCAGTTGTTCAAAATCAGGTAAACTCCTAAGTTCAACTCCTTCTTGTCCCATGATATAGGCCCTGGTTCTCAGCAGCTTCTCTCCTGTGCCCTCTGCTCCCATCAACCCAAAGCCCATAGCTCGGGCTGCAGGAGGAGCAAGGAGCGCACAGCAGGTAGCAGTTCTGCTGGCGTCACCCCAGGGCTCTGCAGGCGGGAGGTGGGTGGGAAGACCTGCTGGGTCTTCCCCTGCTCCGCAGTCCCGGGGAGCCTGACCTCTGGAGACAGAGGAGGCAGCAGCCCCCACTGTGTGGCTCACACTGCAGCCCGCCACTCCCAACCCCAGCGCCGTGCCCCGACCACCCTCCAGGCCCTCACACACCCAGATGCGGGCATGGTGGTGCCCTTCCTTGTCACATGTGTGTCCTGTGTCCAGGCTTGCACCCTGTCCCACTGATCTTTGTGTCCTGCACCCCCCTATCCTGGAACCAGCCCCCTCCTGGAGCCTGGCACTGGGTGAAAACTCAGGGAGACAGGTGCCAGGGCTCAGGCACTGGGCGTGCAGCACTTCACAGCCTTGGACTTCATTTTCGGATCTTTTGTGGGCAGACCATCTGGACTAGATCCCCCTCCCACCCTCCAAGCCCCACGCCTCATCACCCACCTGTGCTGGGGGGCCCCAAGACCACCGCAGGCTGGATGGTTTCGGAGGACTGACAGGACGCCACACACTCACAGCTGAGATTGATTGCAGCAGACAGCTCCAGAGCGGAACTGGCAAAGTGGGTGCGGGCTTCCAGAGCCCTCCCCGCAGTCACACAGGACACACTGAACCCCCTGGCAAGGGGCTGTGACAAGAGAGTGAAGTGGTGTCTATCAGGGAAGCTCCCAGACACTCAGCCCAAGGTGTTTACTGGGAGCTGGTCACATAGGCACCCTCTGCCTGGCAGCTACCAAAATTCCAGACGCCCAGGGGAAAAGAGATGTCCAGCCTAGACCACGTTGTTTGCACAAAGGGTTTAGGCAAGAGGAACCATGTTTGTCAGTTCGGGTGCTGGGACCCCTCCTGAGATCCACGTTCCCAGATGCCAGAGAGGGCCAGCCTTGCAGGCGGACCTTTCTGGGGACAGCAGCTAGGCCTGCCCCGATAACTCTTCTTGCCAGTGTGCATGGAGGGCGGTGCCACACCCAGAGTGGGAGGATGGGCTGGGATTGAAGCTGGGCTGTATCCTCTAGAGCTGTATAGCCTTAAACAAGTTCCTGAACATCTCTGAGCCTCCTCATACCCACAGCCCCAGCTGAAAGAGTAACTCTTCTGATGGATCCTGTAAAGGAGAGATGAGAAACCCCCTAGCTTGGCCCAGTTTAGGGCTCCCTCCACTGGCCTCTTCTCCCTTCCCTTCCTTTCCCCTCTGAATCTTTGGATTCTGAACAGGGCATGCACATTAAATCTGTTGAGGCAGAGGAGCTGGAGAGGAGGGAACAGGTAAGAGAGACTGGGAAGGCCAAAGTAGCCAGTCAGGGCAGGAGAGCAGATGCGGCCATGTTGGTCGGCAGCCTCTGTCTGTGAGGAGGAGGAGGAGGGATCTGCCATTGATAGGAGCTGGGGAAGAAACATGTTTCTGACACCTGGGGATTGATGCAGGCATTTATGACAGTGACAGAAATCAGGAGATGCTGAAGAGCCACTCAGCTGTTTCAGTGTCCCTCCCTGGAAGGTGACTCTTGTGGTTATGAAACACCCTCATGGCTTTGGCCAGAAAAAACATCAGCTGCAGAGACAAAGGTGAAGCAGCATCCGCTGCAAAGTGGATTCTGTGAGGAAGAAATGAGGTCCAGAGATTGCAGAAACACTCAAGTTTCTTTTGTGAACAGAGGACAAAAGCATAAAAGACCAGTGGATTAATTCTTCTGAGCTTTGTGTGCAGTCTTGTTAGGTAGGGGTTGGGGCAAGATGCTGGCTGGAGATTCCTGTCCAAGGACAAAAGCCGTCAAGAGTCATGGGCCTGCCAGAGGCCAAGGGAATTCAAGTCAGGTGGGCTACTTTGGTGTCTCCTGACCCAGGCCCAGGCTGTTTGGGCTCCCTGGGAAGAGCTCATTGAGTGACAAACATTGGCCTGGATGCTTTCCTCTTCTGCACGGCAGGAAGGCCAGGCCAGGCCAGGCCACTCCTGGGCCCATATGGGAGAGCACCTTGTTCAGGAGGGACCCTTCTCCAGAGCCATGAGTGGCTTCTCATCTGGGAGCAAATGGGTTTCACTATATGGCAAGCCCCTGCTCCAGCAGAGACAGCCCGAGAGCTCACACCTCCCTGGGTTCCACACAGTCCATTTGGGAAACTGGGACTGAGATGCGGGCAGAGTGACTTTGACTGTGAACCAGTACCCTAAAACGCTCTGTTAACTAGGGCCGTGGTTCTCAACCAGCGTGATTTTTGTCCCCCAGGGGACATTTAGCAATGGCTGGAAATAAATTATGTTCTCATACTTGGGAAGGGGGAGGTGCTACTGGCATCTCCTGGGTAGAGGCTTGGAATACTCCTAACACCTTGCAGTGCATGTGACAGCCCTCCACAAAAAAGAATGGTCCGGCCCCAAATGTCAGGAGAATCAGGGTTGCAAAACCCCAAATGTCAGGAGAATCAGGGTTGCAAAACCCGAATAATTGGAGTGCTTTTTTTTTTTTTTTTTTTTTTGAGGTGGAATTTTGCTCTTGTTGCCCAGACTGGAGTGCAGTGGCGCGATCTCAGCTCGATGCATCCTCTGCCTTCCGGGTTCAAGCGATTCTCCTGTCTCAGCCTCCCGAGTATCTGGGATTACAGGCACCTGCTACCACGCCCAACTATTTTTTTTTTTTTTTTTTAGTAGAGACAGAGTTTCACCATGTTGGCCAGGCTGGTCTTGACCTCCTGACCTCAGGTGATCCACCTGCCTCGGCCTCCCAAAGTGCTAGGATTACAGGCTTGAGCCACCGCACCTGGCCCTGTTGTGCTTTTTAATGGCTTGTCCCAGTAGTGTTTCCTGACGTGGCGCTGTCTCCCTCCCGACAGGAAACCATGATGGACCACGCCTTGCGTACCATCTCCTACATCGCCGACATTGGGAACATTGTGGTGCTGATGGCCAGACGCCGCATGCCCCGGTCAGCCTCTCAGGACTGCATCGAGACCACACCCGGGGCCCAGGAAGGCAAGAAGCAGTATAAGATGATCTGCCATGTGTTCGAATCAGAGGATGTAAGTAAACTCTTGCCAGGACACTCCCCTCCCAAGGTTCACAGCCCAGGGCGGCTCCAGAATCCAGGCACTGTGGACACCACCCTCAGGTTTTGGAAACCCTCCGTGCCGTTATTGACGTTTCCAGTGGATGAGTGATCTTTTGCATACTCTTTGGGTGTGCAAAGATAGTGAACACAGTCTTATTCTACTTCTTGAAACAGGTTCTTCAGGAGCTGTTATAAATTGAGCCATGGTTATATGAGGGAGCTGTTTGAAGAAATCCCTTTACAAAACATTTTCTCTACTCAAAATGAAGTTAATCTTTGCGTAACTTTTGTTATTAAAATGCAAATTTTCGCATGGCCCTGGCATGCTGTATAAAGAAGGCACATCTGCACGAGGCTTAGTTCTGCCTTTGCGTGTGGTATGTCTTCTGAGCAAGTACAAAGTGATTCTGAAGTGTAAGATACCAAAGACTCAGGAAAAGATCACAAGCCCTTTGGCTCCCTTCTTGGGCTGGAGAAGAGCATTGTTTTTAGCCTGGAGGGGGACAGAGGGACTGAGGAAGGAGCAGCAGGGCCAAGAGGGGAACTCAGAGAGGAACTGTCCTTCCTGGAGGCTAATCTTACTCACAGACCAGCAGCGGGGCTGCTGGTGAGCCAATTTTGTGGCTGTTGCCAGAGTGAAGTTTTAAGAAATGATCTATGGCTGGGCACTGTAGCTCATCATGCCTGTAATCCCAACACTTTTGGGAGGCCGAGGTGGGTGGATCACCTGAGGTCAGGAGTTCAAAACCAACCTGGCCAACATTGTGAAACCCCGTCTCTACTAAATATACAAAAAATTAGCCAAGCATGGTGGCACGTGCCTGTAATCCCACTTGGGAGGCTGAGGCCGGAGAATTGCTTGAACCCGGGAGGCGGAGGTTGCAGTGAGCTGAGATCGCACCATTGCACTCCAGCCTGGGTGACAAGAGTGAAACTCTGTCTCAAAAAAAAAAAAAAAAAAAAATTCTATCCTTCATGGGCAGTTGGCCAGGGCATTCTTTTTCACATAAGGACTTGAGGGTGTCTCAGGACCTGGGCAATAGGGAAGGGTCCCCATATTGTCATGATCCTGACATACGGCATGGGAACTGAAGACAGGGTTCAAACCTGTGGCTGGCGCAGTCATCTGCTTCCTAAGAAGCTGGGTCCACTTGAAATGCTTCAGCGCAATGGCAGATTTACGGGGGGAGAGGGCATTTCAACAGCGCACTCACACATTCCTTCCACCGCTACACGGAGATCCCCCGAAACCTGGATGGGCATTTCTGTGTGACTGAGGGCTGAGGATGTCTGAGAGACCTGGCACGGGCGTGGGCCACAGGTGCTGGCGGAATGAGGCCAGGGGCAGGCCCGGTGGCGAAGGGTGGCAGTCAGTTGGTGAGAGTTTCCGAGGGGCACTGAGAGCCCCCAGGTGCAGCCGATGCGGAGGGTTAAAGCCAGGGGATGCCGTATTGGGTAGATGAGGCCCAGGGTGGTCCTGCCCGCACAGCAGCCTCCCCGTCCCCACCTCTCCAGCGCCTGCAGGCTCTGCCCACCGCCAACCTGCAGGAGGCCGCTTGAGCCCTTGGGTGGGGCCTGGGCTGGACTCCTGGCCTCACAGCAGTGAACTCCCACAGGCTTGGCTGCGAGCTGGGGCTGGCAGGGCGACCCCTTCTCTGAAGCGCCAGCCGCAGAGCGAGCCCCCTGAACCCCACACCTCCCAGGAGGCAGCCGGGACCCGGAATGGAGGCGGCGGCTGGCTGCACACCAGCGGGCCTGATGACGCCTGGAGGAGGCGCAGCCCCGCGGAGCCGGCTCCTGGGCTTGGAGCTTCCGCGGGGGCGGAGGATGTCGTCCAAGGGGAGGAAGAATGGGGGTGGCCCGAGGGAGACCAAGTGGAGTCCAAGGGCCGTGGGTGGTGGAGCTGGGCTTCCGGAGCTCCCGTGCTCTCAGGCCGCCCTTCCCAGCCAGGTGGCAGCACCGGGCGGAGACAGAAGCAGAGGCTTGGGGGCCGCCCTGCGCCCCGGAACCCTGAGATCCCGGGCGGGTGGGGCAGGACCCCCCGGCCGCCCTCCACTTCTCCCGGAGGCCCGACCCTCTCCTGCGCGGGCGCTGCCCCCAACCTCCCGCCGAGCCCCATCAGCTCGCCAACTCTGCAGGCCAGCCCGGCGGCGCCATCTGGCGGTCCCCGGGCGTCGCGCCCCCCGCCGGGTCTGGCAGCGGCAGAGACCCTGGGCGTGGGAACCGGCAAGTCCTAGAAACCGCTTAGGGCCCATCAGGGAGGGCAGTTCCACGCCTGCTGGAGGGAAGGTCGCCTGCTGCGCGCTTCTAATCTGGCCCAGCTTGCCTTTCCCAATGCGTACATTCATCTGCTGCTCTTACATCCTGCCACGTGGAGAGTGGGAAGGGAATTGAGGCCAAAGCCCTTGTTTTCACCTGTTTTGGGATCCTGTTGAGTAGGAATTTGCTGGGGGCGCCCGTGCAGAACCCCCTTGAGGGCAGCTGGGGAGGCAGGTGAGGAGCAGGACAGAGCATGAGGAGGGGCTCACACAGCCCAGAGCCTGGCGGGCGGCCAACTGTGGGCTGAGACGTCATCGAGGTCGCCAAGAGCCCCACCACGCTCCCACGGCTGCACAGCTGCCAGCCTGCTTGGTGACCTCCGGGAACTCAGTACAGCTCTCACCTCCCACTGTCAACTGTCTGCGCCCCAGCAGGCGACCCGCCAGGCCCTGAGTGCTGTTTCGATGTCCAGGCCTCTGCCATGTCAGAGTGGGTGATCTCCACTGAAGCAGCTCAGTGGAAGTAGAAAGCAGCCACGTGCTCCGTAGGGGCTGTGTGGAGTCCCAGGTCTCATGTCTTGCAAGCCCGGCCTGGCACAGCCACATGTCCCTAGTGGGCACTGGGTTCTGTTGCTACCAATAAATACATGCAGGGTAGACAACTAGCAGCATGATGCTCCCAGAAAACACACTGAAAGTCCATTTTCGTCATGAGTGGAAAGGAAATACAGATGGGGCCGGGTGCAGTGGCTCACACCTGATGCCAGCACTTTGAGAGGCCAAGGCAGGAGGATCATTTGTGTCCAGGAGTTTGAGACCAGCCTGGGCAATAGGGCAAGACCCCCATCTCTACAAGAAACAGTTTTTAATTAGCTGGATGTGGTTGTGCTCACCTGCGTTCCCACTCCAGTCTGGGCAACAGAGCCACACCTCATCTCAAAAAAAAGAAAAAAAAAAAAAAAGAAAAAATATGACCATTCCCCATGTCTGAATCAGAGGTGGCCCCGCTTGACTGTTTGTTAAAGGGCTGAATTGTTCTGTCTGCGGTGGATGAGTGGATGGCCTCTGCTGCTTGTTGAATGGGTGAATGCGTGATCCTGGTTTCTTGCTGAAGACATTCCAGGCAGTTTCCGAAACAGTGACCTTGCCTTCACCAGATGAGGGAGGGCCCCCAGTTTCTTTCTTGTTCTTCTAAGCTGGAACAAGGGCCCCCTTGAAGGCTTACGGGTGCATCCTGCACCCAGCCCTGCCGCAGCCCCTGTTGAGGAGGCCGCGGGGAGCCTGTGCCGCATGCCTGTCTCCAGCAGGCCTGCCCTCTGCGCAGGCCCAGCTCATCGCCCAGTCCATCGGCCAGGCCTTCAGCGTGGCCTACCAGGAGTTCCTCCGAGCCAATGGCATCAATCCCGAAGACCTGAGCCAGAAGGAGTACAGCGACATCATCAGCACCCAGGAGATGTACAACGACGACCTCATCCACTTCTCCAACTCGGAGAACTGCAAGGAGGTAAGCCACGCCCACCGGCCTCAGGGAGGCCACGTTTGCCAGCTTCTGCTCCCCGAGCTCCTGCAGAGCGAGCCTTCCCGGGGTCCTCACGCACACCCTTGCCTTCCATCAGACTCGCGTGCGGCCCGGAGTGTGCCCCTCGCTCCTGCCTTCCAGCCGAGCGCTTGCGTGTGAAATGAGCTAGTGGGCACTGGGTTCTGTTGCTACCAATAAATAATGGGCCTTTTAATGCTGCTGTTATCGACCGGCGCTCAGCACCCAGGAGAGATTTCTGAAAAGCACGTGGCATCTCTAAAGGGAGCTTGGGTGCTCTGACAGGGGAGGCTAGAAACCACCAGTAGCAGAGGCCTTAGCTGGTCCCAGTGGCTTCCCCCAGGGGACTTTGGAAAGTTCTTATGGGCAGAGAGGAGCAAATACCCTGGGGACGGCCCGTACCTTGACTGTTTGTTAAAGGGCTGAATTGTTCTGTCTGCGGTGGATGAGTGGATGGCCTCTGCTGCTTGTTGAATGGGTGAATGCGTGATCCTGGTTTCTTGCTGAAGACATTCCAGGCAGTTTCCGAAACAGTGACCTTTGAGAGGAAGTAAAAGTAGAAGGACTTTTCCAACAAGAGTGAAGGCCGGGGGCAGGCTGTGGGTGCTGGAGTCTGAGAGCCTTCCTCTGGCCTCTGTGGGTGTGGTGGGGTGGAAGGAGCAGGAACCAGGACACTGGAGCCCTGCTTGGGGTGGGAAGGTCAGTGTTGGGCACGGGTAGGGATGGAGTCAATGCCGGGCATGGGTGGGGATGGGGGGTCTGTACTTCCAGGTTCCCAGAATTGCTGGGTGGACCCCAGGGAGGCATGGGAGCCAGAGTGGGGTGGGCAGGGCCTCTAGCCCAAGACCTCTCCTGTATGAGATGAGCCAGCCTTGGATCCCATGGCAGGGCGGAATGTGCTGGGACAGGGTCAGCCTCATCCTCCTGTGGGTCCTTGGCAGAGGCCCCAGTCCCTGCCACCAGCCCCTCTCACACTGCTGATCCCTTTGCAGCTGCAGCTGGAGAAGCACAAGGGCGAGATCCTGGGCGTGGTGGTGGTGGAGTCAGGCTGGGGCTCCATCCTGCCCACGGTGATCCTGGCCAACATGATGAATGGCGGCCCGGCCGCCCGCTCAGGGAAGCTGAGCATCGGCGACCAGATCATGTCCATCAATGGCACCAGCCTGGTGGGGCTGCCGCTCGCCACCTGCCAAGGCATCATCAAGGTGGGCACCCTGGGACCCTCCGCCCAGGGGTCGCCTCAGCCCTGCCCCACTTGATCCCCACTTTGCTGCAATCCACACTTCACCCACGGTGAAACTGAGGGCCAGGGTGACTCACCCGGTGACTGGTTGATGATGGCATCAAAATTTGAACTCAAGACCATTCCCCATGTCTGAATCAGAGGTGGCCCCGGGCTGCCCTGGGGTGGGAGGGGAGGGGTTGTCTGAGCCCTGTATCAAGCCATGTGGCCCTGGGCAAGGGCCCAAGGACCAGTGAGTATACAGTGACCAGCTTATCCTGTTTTGCCTGGGGCTTTGCCAGGTTAGCACTGAAAGTCCCGCTTCCGGGAAACCCCTTCAGTGCTCTTGGGCTGGGGAGGTGGGGCACCCTGCATGGGTTGAGTTCTGGGACACAGGCTCCCTTAAGTAAGGAGGCCACCCTGACAGTCAGACTCGTGAGCTTGCAGCTTTGGGAGGTGCTGCCTGTCGCTGTCAGGGGCCAGGCAGAAGGGTCACCGGCAGGTGGGGTGGGGGCCTTCACACTGACCACTTGCGGAGGAGCGGGCTCTGCCTGCTGCTGGTGACTCCTGTGACCCAGCTGTGGCCTGGCCCCCAGCCCTCTGTGGCATGTTCCTCCCCACCCTGCTGTGGTCTTGGTGCTGGAGACAACACCGTCCTCCTCTTTGTTCAGCGTGAGAGATGAAGGGCATTCCCCAGGCCAGGGCATCTCATAGACTGGCTCTCAGAGCTTGCCCAGCAGAGCTTCTGCCCAATGGGCAGCCACACAGAGAGACATGGGAGAGGCCTCTGCCAGTGAGGTCTCAGCAGCCGAGGTCCCCACTCCCAGGGCTGCAGCTCCCAGGTGGAGGCTTGGGTTCCTCCCCGTGCCTCTTCACCCCCACCGGACCCCAGCGGCCTGGTGCACCCGCTTCCTCACTCAGAGATTTGCTGCGCAGTCATTCCCTGCCCTGCAGGAGGTCATCCTTGGAGGGCATTGGGTTTTGAGGAAAGTGTCCCCACATTCTTCCATAGGAAACTCTCCTGAATTTGGCATGATGATGGCCCCCTCGACACCCTGAGGGTGAACTGGTGCCAGGCGCATTGGTTCTGCCCAGTGGCACTCAGAGCCTGGGCTCACTCCTGCAGCGGCTCATCTTCCCCAGGGCAGAGGTGCCCTGAGCATGGTGGGAGAGGGCGCAGTGCCGCCCTGGAAACCTGGCAGCTCTGGGAAGGGCCAGGGCGAGGCTCATCCTCACTGTACAGAGGGGCTACCGAGGCTGAGGGGACTGCCAGCCTCACCTAGTGTGCGTTCTCACTGCCCCCGGCCTCCGCCCTGCCAGCCTCACCCAGTGTGTGTCCTCACTGCCCCCAGCCTCCACCCTGCCAGCCTCACCCAGTGTGCATCCTCACTGCCCCCGGCCTCCGCCCTGCCAGCCTCACCCAGTGTGCGTCCTCACTGCCCCCGGCCTCCGCCCTGCCAGCCTCACCCAGTGTGCGTTCTCACTGCCCCCGGCCTCCGCCCTGCCAGCCTCCCCCATCCTGGGTCAGGCTTGATGTCTAAGGCCCAGCCTTTGACTCCTATCCCCGTGCTCTGCAGGGCCTGAAGAACCAGACACAGGTGAAGCTCAACATCGTCAGCTGTCCCCCGGTCACCACGGTCCTCATCAAGCGGCCAGACCTCAAGTACCAGCTGGGCTTCAGTGTGCAGAATGGCATTGTGAGTCCCCCCTCCTGCCCTGGGCCGCCACCACCGCTGCAGGGCCCAGGGAGGGAGAGCAGCTCCCGTCTGATGGGGCAGGCTATGCCTGGCAGCCTGGCAGGACCTGGCCCATGGGTGCAGCTGCCCACAGCCAGGCCACCCGGGACAGGAACTTTCCACGGCTCTCGGGGAGGTCTTGGGTAGAAGGGGAGGGCCAGGGCATGGCCGTGGATTGGGCCCCTGCAGCCTTTCCCAGGTGCCCTTGTCCCCACAGTGGCTGTCGCCTGCTTTGGAGGGAGGGCAGCAGGCTTCGCCAGCACTGTGGCTTGGACACAAGCAGTCGTGGCATCACTTACTGTGCTCAACAAACAGATGCTCGCTCGTTCATCCATTCGTGTACTCATCATTCACTTGTTCACGCAGCCATTCAGCAGACATCTGTGAAGTGCCTGCTCTGTGTTAGGCTTTGCACCAGGCAATGGGAAGCCTGGAGTGCTGCCTGGAGGAGGTGATGCTGGGCTTGAGTGTGGTTCTGGCCAAAAGCCTGTGCCAGTTCCCCGGGCCAAAGTTCTTTAGCCCAGAGTTTCCACCCTCTCATTGACCTGCGTTTGGCCGGAATTCTCTTTCCTTTGTTTTCCCTCCTGCAAAAGACCCAGAGGGGAGAGATGTGGCCACTAAATGGAATAAAGAAGAAAAGGGCTGGCAATACCCAAATTGTTTAAACCAGCCCTGAGTGTGAGGGAGCGTAGCAGGAGGGGCATCGCGGGCTGGGGTGGAGTGGTGTGGAGGCGACGGGGAGGACGCGTGTCCACCCACACCCACAGAGGAAAGACAGTGGGAGAACATTCTAGAAGGACTACCAAATCTTCTCCATTGTTTTCTGGTGAAGCAGCATGGAGGGGTATACCCACCGTCAGGGTGGAGTCACAGGGCTTGGGCTCAGGGCCCATCTCTGACCCTGCTGTGTTAGAGCAAATTTGCTCCTATAAAAAAGATTCCACAAATCTTCATATACTGAGAGCTGACTGCTTACTCGTGCTGCAGTCTGATTTGCAGTGGGGGCAGTGGCGGTGAGCTTCACTCCACAGAGCCACTCAGGGGCCCAGGCTCTGCCCTCAGCTGGGCTTCCGCAGCCCCCACTGGGAGCTCTGTGTCTGGCTGGCACTGCAGGAAGAGAGGCAGCTCGGAAGACCTTGTGAAGGTTTTCAGGACCAGGGCAGAAGTGGCCCTTGTCATTTCTGCCCACAGCCCACTGGCCAGATAGCTCAGCCACAGACCCATGGGAAGCGGGGGCCAGCCGGCGCCCAGAACGAAGAGGGCCAGGGCATCGCCAGTGTCAGCCATACCTTCCCGGCTGTGTGACCCTCGGCAAGTCACTTAACACTCACTGGATTCCCCTCAAAAGGTGCTTCTGAAGATCAGCAGAGAAAATCCATAACGTACCCCCAGCTACCCAGGGTGGGCCCGCTGGTCCTAGTCTGCCAAGGAGGAAGGCCTGTGGCCCCTGGACCTGGCACAGGTGCCGGGACAAGTTGTCTGCACCCCACTTGAGGCTTCTGTCCAGGACAGTGCGCCTGCCGCAGGAGCTGGCCAGGTGGTGGTCTGGCCTGGGCCGGCTCTGCCTGACTGCTCTGCACACATGTGGCCTGGGCACAAGCAGTTGCCCCAGCTAATTTGGAGGCTCTGCAGAAAGTCAGCTGGGGCCCTGTCTGCAGCTGCCGTGAGCAGTTTGTGGACGGGCATGGCTGGGCCCCAGGGAGGAGGGCTGCGACAGCCTTCTGGGCTCCCGCACCCCAACCGTCACCAGGCCCTGACTGTGTGCCTCCCACCCCAGCATTGGGGACAGTGGAGGAAGCTGGGGACTGACAGCCCTGCAGCCCTCACGAGGAGCTGTGCTGTGCAGAGCCTGGGGCGCTGTGTGGTGTCCCCGGGCTGCCCCTGCCTGGCCAAGCCTGTTGACTACACAGTCTTTGCCTCCTGAGTGGCACTGGGGAGCTGCTTGTCCTGTTCCAGCACCCCTTGCCCAGCCTAGGAGGCAGGTGGGCCTGGGTTGGTGGCCAGTGCCGCTCCCTGACAGCCCCGTCGCTGGGAGCCCTGCAGGAGAGGGTGGCCTGGGGGCTGCCCACTCTTAGGGCCTGTGACTATAGCCCTGCCCAGGATGATTTGATGCCCCCTCAGTCTGCTGGTATCCCCCAAACTATAACCGCATGAGGAGCACAGGAACTGGAGCAGCTGGGGCACACAGAAGTTTAGTGACTTGCCCCAGGTCACACAGCCACGTGGAGCACTGGTGGGGAGAGGGGAAGAAGAGACAAGGAAGGGAGGACTCCGGTTTGTGTTTTGTGGGGTCTAGATTAACGTGCATGGGAAAGGAGGGGACAGTTGGAGCAGCCCAGCCAAGCCCAGGTGCAGGGTTCTGTGCCTTCCTTCCCAGAGAGCCAGAGTGCAATGGGCGAGTGTGAAGCCCGGGCGGAGGGCAGTGGATGGAGACCAGGGCTGTCTCCAGCTGCCTTCTGGGGCAGGTGCGGGGAGTCTGGAGAGCTCCCGAACATGGGGCTGGGTGGGTCCAAGTGGCCAGGAAGCTGAGGATGGTGGTGTGGATGGGCGTTTCTCAAAAGATTAGAGGGTGCAGGGCTGAGGGCAGCAGCAGACTTGCGGGGCCTGGAGTGAGGAGGGGGTCATGCAATTCTGAAGACAAAATCTCCGGGGTGGCAATATGAAAGAGAGGAGGCCACCCACTGCTTGGTGTCTCTGCCCTGGATCCGGGGTCTGAGTTCCGGAGTGATGGAGGGGGCCAAGCGTCTGTGAAACTTGGGGGGTGGTCTGGGGTCACGACTGGGGACGAGGAGGATCTGAAGGTCCCAGCCCTGCTCGTGGATGCGCTGCTGTTCCACCCTCTGGCCTCCGCCTCCCTGTCTGTGAAATGGGTCCCACTTCCTTGAAGCCCCAGTGCTCAGGATGCAGGGGAGAGGCTGGCAGCCGAGGGGAGGGGCAAATGCTGGCTCTCAGGGGCTTTCTCCAAGATACAGGACAGCTCACCCTGAGAGTGCCAGGGAGGGCTGGATGAAGCGAATGAACTGGCATGGTTCTGTCCTGGTTATGATCCATCTCCCCAGTGATCCGGAAAATGGCATGCAGGCGGCCCTACAGATCAGTCACCATCTCTGCGTGGCTCGGCTGCCTGGCAGTAAACACCAGGCCCCTCAGACCCCCAAGTGCGGACCCCACCTTTTGCACCTGCCTCATGAATGCCCGTGGCCATGGTGGGGGTTGAGGGTAGGGGCTGGCTGTCCCTGTTTGGCCCTCTGTGCACCTGGACACAGAGGCTGTCACAGTGGCTGCCACCTGTCCCCCTGCAGGCCAGGACTCACCCACCCCAGGGACTTGTCCAGGCGTCTGCCTGGCTGAGGTGCACCAGGGGCTCCAGGGAGCAATGAGCCTGGGATAACATTCAGGAGACCCAAGGGTGCTGGCTGCTCTGGTCTAAGCCACTTGTCCTTCACAGCGTGCTCAGGATGGGACCCGCAGCCCCGAGGGCCCTGGTCTCCACTTTCAGGACTCTGGTACCCTGGGTTCCTGCTGCTCCCGACCCTGTAGCAGTGTGGCTTTTCCCTCGGTGTCACCTCTCTGGGCCCCCCTATCCCCACCATGCCCAGTGAAGCTCTCACCAGTGTCCTCCTGTCCTTGCCAGGTCCCCCGCCTGAAGTCCCAGCTCCAGCTGGCCTGGGACAGCCACAGGGCACCTTGTATCCCAAGAGCCAGTGGGCAGGGACAGGTGGTCCTCTCAGCCTCCACGTGCGCAGCCACCCGGGGAGCACGTGCGGGCGCTGGAGGATGCCTGGCTAGGAAATGGGGTCTATCAGCACCTGCCCCGACCTGCAGCGGTTCTCCCCAGTGACTTCAGAAACATTCCCTGTGGCAGGTGGCAGTGCTTAGCATGCAGGGCGAGCAGTCAGATGAGATCTGGGCCTGCTGCAGAAATCTGGGTGCTGATGTGGGGGGAGGGGGAGGCCCCTCCCAGTTGTCTGTGTCTGCACGTGTGTGCGCATGCAGGTGTGTTTGGGAGAGGTGAGTCTGCTTCTCCCATCCCAGGCCACTCGCCGCCTGCCACGGCTCAGCACAGCCTCCTTTCTCCAGGATAAGAGGGCCCCGGGGCGAAGGAGCTGCGGTGTGGAATCTGCTTCTCCCTACCCCCTTCTCTTCTAGTCTTCATTCTCCTTGGACATCCATTTTTCTGGTTTTTGTTTCCATTTAAAAAATAACTGTGGTAAAGTACATCCATAACATAAAATCGATCATTGTACCCATTTTGAAGTGCGGAGTTCTGTGGCAGTCCATCTGCGTATCAGGCAGCCGTGGCCACTGTGCTCTCCTGCACGACTTCGTCCTACCCAGTGGGAACTTTGTCCCCACTAAGCACCTCCACCCATTCCTCCTTCCCAACCCCTGGCAGCCCCCCACGTCTACTTTGTCTCTGTGATTCTGACTACCCCAGGTGCCTCATATCAGTGGCATCGCGCGGTGTTTGTCCGTGTGCCTGGCCTGTTTCACGCAGCGCAGTGTCGCAGTGTCCCTGCGGTCTGTCCGTGCTGTAGTGCGCGTCGGACTCTCCTTCCTCTCCAGGGCTGAGTACTGTTTCCCTGCAGGCCTAGAGCACATTCTGTTTCTCTGCTAGTCCTTGTTGTCACCCTCGGCTGTTGTGAACGCTGCTGCTGTGAACACGGGTGTGCAGGGCACCTGTTTTCCAGTCTGTCCAGTCTCATGGTCACAGGCGCTCCCCGGCCCTCCAGTCCCTCTGTTTGACGTCACTTTTAAGCTGGAAATGGAAACTCCCGCCACTGCACTCCAGCCTGGGTGACAGAATGAGACCCTGTCTCCAAAAAACATAGAACCAGTGTGTTTGGCACAAAATGCCCTTATGTCACCTGGGTGGGGGGGATATAGGAATAAAAGTGACTCTTCCCTGCCTATGTAGAGCGTTTGGGCATCTGGCAAACGGAGCCTTCCCTTGACAGAACAGATGCCCCACCTTTCTGGTGGCCAGGGGACAGGCTGCCTCTCCTTTCCCGCCCACCCACCAGCTAAGTGCCTGTCTTCCAGGATGGTAACCAGGCTCAGCTGCAGGAGGCCAGGTGGCAGTGGCCTTGGGCTATGTCACCAGTCTCCAGCCTGACCACAAAGGGAGGGGCCCTGGGGGAGGTGCGGCTGTGGACCGGTTCCACCGTGGGAGTTAGAAAACGTGTTGGTTCCCCACACACCATGGCATTGACTCTCTTGTTTTAAGGAAACACAGTCCAGATCATAAGCGGTGCCGTCTGAGTCAACGAATTGCACGTGCACATATTCATCACGTGGCGCTTTTCCCTCTGAGTCAAGTGATTCGCCGTGCCCATATTCTGCGTGGCGCTCTTTCCTTGGTTCAGTGAATTGCGTGCCACGTATTCTACGTGGCCTTTCCTTGATGTGATTGGGCAACGTGCACGTATTCATCCGTGGCGCGCTTTTCCTCTGAGTCGATGATATTGCCGTGCACGTATTCCATCACTGGCGCTTTTCCCTCCGCGTGTCCTGTCCTTTGGACCTGGTGGCAGCGCTGGTCAGGTGTGGCACGACACACGTGTGCTGACCCTGGACCATGCTGCTTAGATTTGCACCGCCTCATGAGAGGGCATCGCCGAACGACGCGAGGGGGCCTCCGCGTTGGCCACCGCATCATGCGAGATTCAACAGCGGGCAGAGCGTGGTGGCCACAGCCTCACGAGAAGATAGTCAAGCTCTGTCCAACTCGGTCGGAGGGGTAAGAGGCCGAACTTGGGTGTGCTCTGCGTGCAGTTCACCCGTGTGCTCCCCGTGAAAATGAATTGCTCTCCCGTGTGGCCTCACCCCGCTCCAGAGGAACGGGCGCCTGAAGCCAGCAGGCTGTTCCCCACCGGGCCCTGTGCAGGGATGGAGTGGCAGGTCATGCGGGGCCATCCGGGTCCTGGCCTCGTACTGGCAAGCCGGGGAGGGCACACGGCTTAGGGGGTTGTCTCTGGACAACTACTTGGGACTGGCCTGTTGTCCCAGTTCGAGCTTGCAGGGCCCCGGCTCTGGCACCCTGGCAGGCTGACCTCTCTTGCCCTTTAGTTCTGCCGTCCCTTCCCATCAGCCAGGCTGCTTCCCAGTTCCCGCTTCACCTGCTGAAGCCCCCAGGCTCAGTTTTTCTGGCATGCTTCCACGCAGTGCGGCTGGTTGCGGGAGGCGGCCCATGGTCTTCTCGAGCCTCACCAGGGCAGCAGGATCCATTAGGGGAGGATGGTGCTGGTGGCGTGGCACGTCACTGGGGCATGGAGCACGTGCAGGGCTGTGGTTGGGTGTGGTGTGTAGTGGTGAGTGGTGTGCGTGTGCATGTGCATGGTGAGCATGGGTGGTGTGTGGAATGTGGATGTTTGGTGTGGTGTGTTAAGTTGGCGGTGTTGGAATGGGTGTGTACATGCCCATGTGGGATTGGTAGGGGGTGCATGAGTGAGTGGCGTGTGGTGGTGGCTGTGTGAATGTACCTGAGAGTGGTGTGGATGGAGTGTTGGGGGGTGAGTGTATGTGTGTGGATTAATGTGGTGGTGTGAGCATGGGGGTGTGTAGGAGTGCAAGTGGGGTGGTGAGTAGGGGGGTGGGTGTGGTCCGGCGTGGGATGTGCGCGATGGGGGTCGTGGCGGTGTGGAGTGGTGGTGAGTAGGGTGTGTGGGCTTGTGGGTCCTGAGTGGATATGAGGTATGGCGCGGTGTTGGAGTGTGGTGGTGTGAGTACGGGCTGTGTGGGCTGCTGGGTCTGAAGTGGATATGAAGGCTGCGGGTGGGAGTGTGAGTGGGTGTGAGTAGGGGTGTGTGGCTGTGGGTCTGAGTGGATGTGGGGCATGGGGGTGTGGAGTGTGAGTGGGTGTGTGTGAGTAGGGGTGTGTGAAGGGGTGTTCAGCACAAAGGGGCTTCAGGCTCTCTGGGATGAGCAGGGAGACTGAGAGCTGAGGAGCCTGGCCTGCAGAGGGGCCCGCGGGGGACCGGGCAGGGAGTTTAGGTCGGGGTCTGGGGACAGCAGTGGCAGGCTGGGCGGTCTGTGGCGCTTCCCCCGGCGGCCCTGTGGGGGCTGAGTATGTGGAAACCATCCTTGCAGCCTGTGGGGTGGGTGGGCGGAGGGGCCTCCAGTTCCTGTTCCTCAGATGAGGTCTCCCGGAGCCACGTCGGGACACTCACATGTTGTGCACTGCAGGGTGTGCTGGGGGCTGGGAGGCCTGTTTTCCCTGTGCTGGTGAGGGCAGGGGCCGGTGAGGGCAGGGGGCCGGCTCATTTTTCCCCATGCTGGTGAGGGCAGGGGCCGGTGAGGGCAGGGGGCCGGCTCAGTTTTCCCCATGCTGGTGAGGGCAGGGGCCAGCTCAGGAGGAGGAGGGCCAGGCGGACACCAGCCTCCTTTTGATGGCTTCAAAGAAAGGAAAAGCCAGTGTTCCCAAGTAGATGCTTTGAAGCGGCCGCCCCCACGGCCCTCAGCCCCACACCCGTGAGGGAATCCACCCGTGGAGGAGTGGGCGGGACCACGGAGAAGAGGCAGGAGGCGGCCGGGGCGTAGGAACCCTTTCAGCCCTGCCGCGGTGATGGTGCCTGTTTCCAGCAGCCCTGAGCCCACGTGGGACAAGAGTCACGGATAAACAAGGCTTGCAGTTGTGCGGGCCTCGGGTGGGTTTCCGGTTGAGGAATGCCAGGGAGTGACTGATGGAGGAAGCCTGTGCCGGGGGCAGGAGCAGCAGAAACCTGCACTGGCCACACAGATCCCGGCGGGGGAGGGAGGGCAACGCCTCAGAAGCAGAGCTGCACCATGTGCCTTTCCCGGCTGCTCAGCCCAGGACCCGAGACCTGCTTGCCTGAGGAGGGGCAGTGGCAGGGCAGCCGCACCCGGTGGGGAGGCCAGCAGCCCTGTGGCAGCCAACTCTGGCAGTGCAAGGGCCGCCGTCCCGAGGCCACAGCCCAGCGCAGTCCCGGGCAGGACGGGACAGCGTCACGCTCAGGGGAGGAGAGGTGGGCAGCAGAGCTCCCCTACTGTTGCTGAAGCAGACGTTTAGAGGGCTCCTTCCCAGTGCCCCACAGGAGGATTATGAGGCGTGCCACCCACACGGTCGGTCTCCCTGGGTGGTCTGAGGCTTTGCTTGTGTACCTAGCTCCTTTGAAGCCAGGGCTCAACGCCAGGCCCCAAAGGGTCATTTGCTCACTGATCCCCAAAGGCTGGGGACTTGAGGTGCCCTCGGCCCCAGCGAGCCTGATCCCAGCCCCCAGCACACTTGCCTGGCCAGTGTTAGTTCTGTAAGAAGGGCTGTGTCTTCCCCCGTTGGTCTCCTCCTCACTGAGGCAGAGTGTGCCCATCACAGTTTCTGCTGAGGCCTGGGCACCCCCAGCCAGCCCCAGTGGATGGCAAACTGCTGTCACTGCTAGAAGTCCAATTTCTTACCCTCTGGGTGTCAGCAGGACTGGAAGCAAAACTAGCACTCAACTGTGTAGACGCCTCTGGAGCCAGGGGTGGGGGCCCGGAATCTCGGTCTGCCGCATCTGGAAGGCATCCTAAGTGCCCCCAGGCCTGGGCAGGCCAGCCCTCCTCCTCCACTCTCGGAGACGGGCATTTGAAGCAGAACTCGGGGGTGGGGGGGTCGCCTCTGTCGTTTGCTTTCACCTGATTGTGGGAGGGGCAGTGGGAGGGCAGCGGCTCAGCCTCCTGTGTCTGTTGGCAGATCCACATGAAGACCATGCCCGCCGCCATGTTCAGGCTCCTCACGGGCCAGGAGACCCCACTGTACATCTAGGCTCCCCCAGCCTGGCCACGCAGCCTGGACACCGGGCAGGGCCACCCGGGCCCGGAGGAGCTGGGAGCCGGGCCGCAGATTTGACCCCGACGCCACAGCCCAGCCACGGACACTGGCTCCCCAAAGGGCGTGCCCTCACCGCCCACTTGGTTTCTTTTCTGTTTTCATTTTGCCAAAAAGGGGTGTGTCTTTATCAAAGGAGAGTCACAGAACAAATGTTTGTAAAGCGTTCGAGTATTTTGCCACGTTCTGGACTGTCTTCTCCCTGCACCAGCCAGGGTGTGTGTCGGTAGCCGTGCGTGGTGTGACCAGCCAGGGTGTGTCTCGGTAGCCGTGCGTGGTGTGACCAGCCAGGGTGTGTCTCGGTAGCCGTGCGTGGTGTAGAATGTATGTCTTTCCTCCCTGAAGCTGTGCGGAGTGAACTGGCGCCTCCAAGAGAGGCGGCTCCCAGGGCAGGGCAGCCATCAACCCTGCCTCCCGCCCTCTTGGCCGGGATGTCTGGGGTCCTGTGGGGCCCCCGCAGTGGTCCCAAACAGCTGCCTCTGCCACTGACGGCAGGGACACAGGCAGCCCGGCTCCCAGGACATGACTTGTAATGCAAGTTTGGGGACATGTGATGGATTGTAAATAAAGGATGATGGCCACAACACGAAAACTCCCTATTTATTTAGATACTATTACTGTTTGGACTTTTATTTTGGCAGGCTGTTTTTCAGACGAGGGTTTTCCAGTGTGACCCATGACCACACCTGCCCCTCCTGTACTCTCTGCCGGAAGCCCTCCCAGCCGGCTGCATCCCCGGGCAGGGCTCCCACAGAGACAGGGAGGGCGCAGGCATCTGCCCCCGCTTTAAAGTCGATCTACACACACTCCTCCACGCACGTGCTCCTTCGAGGAAACAAAACCCAGGCTAGACAACGCGACCTTGGCCACACCGAAGGCAGCCAGCCGTGAGTGCAGACCCCTCGGCCAGCGTGGCACGGCAGCCCTGAGCAGTAGTGGTGTGTGTGTAGATCAAGTCAGATCTAGTCCAGCTCAGTTCATTAGCGATCCATGTAATCTGATGTCATCTTGTCCCGAAGTCTCTTTTTTTGGCCCAGGCCTTGAAGAATACACTGTGACTTAAGAAGCCTTACCACGCAGTAACTACAGCTTTAGGATGATTGTATTCGAGGAGTGCCGTGTGTTGCATGCAGCTGCCCGTAGGAAGACTTTGCGCGTATCACTAATAAACCCGAAGTCGTGATGAAAAGCCGTGTGTGTGACTGCTCTGTTACCTGAGCGGCGGGTGCCACCTGTCCTCTCATTCACAGCTTGGATGCGGCTCTGCAGGTTCGCTATGCGGTGGTGGCCGTGGCTGCTCTGTACCCCTCCTGGACCCTGAACCTTGGAAGCTGTCACTAAGGAGGTCGGAGGGTGGGCGCGCTGGGCACCAGGTGTCAGCTGGGCAATGCCCTGCTGCAACTGGAGGTGCCAGCAATGCTGCCAGATCACGGGGTCAGTGCCAGGTTCTTGACCCACTTGCCCCAGCGGGGAGACACGTCCGCAGAGCACTGACTAATGGAATCAGGGAGCTTTGGGCTTCTTCGCATTTCAGCATGAACAACCCCTGGGAAAGGTGCGTGTGTAACAGCCGGACCGCCCGTCCCAGCACCTTCTGCACCTGTGGGTCCTTTGCAGCCTGTCTAGAGTGACAATTCTGGCAGCTGTGCCAGCACTTACCTTTCTTCATGGCCACCGTTCTGGCATCGCCTGGTGTGGGAAAGCCAGGTAGCAAGCGTGGGCTCTGGTCAGAGGCGGGGCCCGGGGTCCAGCTGGGTTAGGCTGCGGGCCTTGGATGGGCAGGAGCCTTCCTCTCTGGCCTGCCCACAGCAGAGTGAGCTCCATGCCGTGGGCACTGACCACCTTCGGGGCCCCGGATTCTTGGGGAACTGCAGAGTAAGAAGACTTACTGTCACCTGGCTGCCCAGAGGATGTGGGCCAGGGGCTTGCTTCAGCATGACCTTGGCCATCAGGGGCAGGTAAGAAACAGCCTTTCAAGGCGCACTCCAGCTTCATGCCTCCCTCTTCCCAGAAAGTATACATGGTAGAGGCAAAGAAAGCTGTTCCACAGGAAACTCTGTCGGAGAGAGCTGTGCATACGCTGAAATGTATATGCACTCGCTCTGAATATGCTGAAGAATGAAAAGCAAATACAGTTCTTGGCGTGGCCAACAAACAAGAATGCCGGGGATGGCCACATCCTTGGGGAATGAAAAGAAAGGTCTCCTGAGTCAAAGCTGGAGGGAATGGGATTCCACTCAGGAGGCCAAGCGGCACATCCTGCTGTGCTCAGGACGAGGCCGGGAAGCAGGTCCCAGGGAGGAGAGCCCTAGCTAGCTGAGGACATGCGGGCAGGACTCCCACCGAATCGCACACATCTTTTAAAATCCTGCATTTAAGGAAAACTTTGAGCCACGGCCTGCATTCCTCCCAGCAGCCCTTGGAGGCCACGTCCACGAGGGGCTGCCGTGGCCAGTGTAGGCAGGCCTGTGTGCGTCTAAGCCCTGGCCCGCCCCGCGCTGCCCCGGAGTTGATCTTCTCCGCAAGGCTCCTGGAAGCAGAGCTGAGTGGCATGGGTAGCTCAGGCTCCCCGGCTGGCTGCTGCAAGGCCCACTCAGGACCCTGCCCCTGGCCAGTGGTGCACACAGGCTCTCGGCCTGCCTCTGTCCCAGTTAGACCTCAGAGACACAGAGACCAGAAATACTTTTTATTAAAACACGGATCATTATTAAAACACCTTGAGGTACATTAAATAAATACAACCGTTCCAGTTGTACAAACAGGTCTCTGGTGGCTTGAAAACAATTTCCTATAAATTCTGCCTTAGCAGCCTCTGAGAGTCAGCACGGGTGGGGAGAAGCATCCGTGTGTAGCGAGCTTTCTGTGGCCTGGTGTGTTATAAGCATTTAATGTGGATCCTCATCTCTAGCCAAGGATGAGACCTGAAGTTCTTGCAAATGATGCTCCCCCTTCTCTGACCTTGCTTACCATAGAGTTGGGGTCCAGGTTCTCCCCGCTCAGCATCCTCGTGGTCCCCAAGCTGGGGTCAATGGTGGTGTCACAGCAGATGCCAACCACCCTTTGGGTCTCAGGGCAGGGCAGGGGATGCCCGGGGCCCAGCTGAGCTGGAGAAGGAGCATGTCACCCCCAAAGCAGCTACAGTTGGCTCATTTCAGAGCCCAGACAGGGAGCATGATGAGAGCGGGGGAAGGACGCACACGGGGCGGGGGGGGGGGGGGGGAAGCAGCCGGCTTTCTCCTTGGCTGTGAGCCAATGTGCAGCCTGGGGCTCGGGCTCTTGCTGCTGGTACCCAGATGCCATGGAGCCAGGGTCAAGGGCACCACAGCTTCTGGGTCAAGTTGCCAGCACATTCCCTAGTCTACCAGCACCTCTCTCTTCTGGGGACCCTCCCAGATTCCATGAGTGGCCCTGAGAAGCTGGGCTGAGTGGGGCACCCCACCCTGTCCCTGACTGCCTCATTTTGAGGGGGCAGAAGGTTCCAGCCCAGTGGCATCAAGTTGGGTACAGTTTCTGTATCCACACAACAGCTGCCACCAGCGCAAACCCAGAGCTGGGTGAGGGTGGGGTGCAGGTGGGGGCCCGCAGGGAGGCAGTGCTGGGGCAGGAGCCCCACTGGCCACTGGGGCCGGGCCCTGCTGCAGAGAAGGGAAGGATGCCACGCAGCAGGCTGGGTGGTCCAGTGGCCTCCACCCCGGCTGCAGAGGAAACAGCCCAGGGACCGAGTCCGCTGCGTGGCTGGTGGTCTTGGCCTCGCTGGAACTGCAGCCGTGTCTGAGGACTGCAGCTCTAGCCCACACAAGGGCTCGGCCCAGGGACCATGCTGTGTGAACCCCCAAGCCCTAGTGTGGACCCCCCAAGCAGGTGAAACCCCTGCGGCGCGGCCCCCACACACCTCAGACAGTGGAGATCCAGCGGCCAGGGCGTCAGGCGTGGCTGAAGCTCTGCTCCAGGGCGGCCATTCTGAAAATCCACCAATTAACTTCACCTGTAAAGGGACTTGCCTTGAGGGAGTTCACAAGCCCCCACTTGAGAAAAAGTATAGATTTCCTGTTTTATAGTCTGAATAAAGTGCTCATCTCTAGTACATCTTTCCTGGAAAAGTGCAGGTTGTCGTCTGTTTTCAGCTCTCTAAAGCAATCGAAGCCTTTTCAACCCACCACAGCTGGGGAAGGCCTACACCTCAGCCCCCAGGGCGGGCGTAAGGGGCTGCGGGAAGGCTCTGGGCACCTAGGCTGGAACCCCACGCCCTTCCCGGCTTCCAGTCACACAGAAGCTCCTCAGCACGCTGGCCACAGTGGTGTTGGGGGATTGGGGGAGCTCAAGGACAAGCCCCACGGAGCTGAGAGAAGAGCATGAGCCCCCTGCCCTGGCACCCAGGAGTGGAAGGCACCCTCTGGCCCCTGTGCCCCCATGCCAGGCTCACGGGCTGTCTGGGAAGAACTCAGGCTCTAGGCTGCTTTGTTCACTGCAGGGCCCACCCAACGCAGCTCAGAGGCTGTTGCTGCTAGTGGCCCTGAACAGGCATTTCCATCACTGCAGAAAGTTCTCGTGGATGGCGCTGCTCCAGGGCCATCGCTGGGAGCAGCTGCCACTGATGCCACCAGAAAACAAGGGGATAGGGGCCAAGAAAGTGCAAGGTCCCCAAGCTGCCCCCAAGCTGGGCATGCCTGCTTCTGCACAAGCAACATGGCGGGTGTCTCTTCCGTTTCGCGTGGGTTTGTAGGTGGTTTATGATCCTCCTGCGTGGGCGTGTCTGTCTGTCTGCTGCCGCCTGCCCGGGGGGAAGGTCAGCTCTGGGTCACAGGGATCTGCTTTATCGGAAGGGGCCACTTCCCAGAGAAACCGGCCTCTCTCCCTCAGAACTGGACCCACTGAGCTCAATCAGGTGAGCTCAGACACAGGGAGACCCCCAGAGGAGCTGGGAATCGGCGCTTATTGTTATGGATCAAACAACTGAATCAGGTCTGCGCCAGGGACAGGACGGGAGCCTGGAGAAAGGGGGCCTGAGAGGAGGTGGGGGAGGCACCCCACGGAGGGAGGCCGAGCTCGAGGCCCAGAAGACGGTGGGTTCCTCCAACTCTCTGCAACACCGGCCTGTCCCCTGGGGTGGCCAGGCCACAGCAGAGGCCCTCACTGTACATTTGTTTGCACAGTAGCCCTGTGGACAGAAAGTTGGGCGCAGGCTGCCATCTGTGCTAACGCTACCTATTTCCTTTCATAGGAAATAGGCCAGAGCGTGATGAACGTTTAATGATAGAGCCATCGAGCCACATGAGAAAATGTCTCATGACTCGATGTCACCCTCTGTCCCCTGAACACTAAGTTAAATGAGGGATGGGGAACTCCTGCTTTGGATGGCCCTGATTTTGGAGATACTTCGAGTCTTTAGGTGACCTAAGTGTCGCCTGTTGCTGTATTCACGTTTATGCAACGCTGCTCAGTTCAAGGCGCTGCACGCCAGATAAAACCAGAGTTCACCGCGGACACGAGAGTCATCCTTCCCAGTTACTGGGCTAGGCAGGAAACGCAGTCCACAGGGAGGCGACCGCTCGGCTCCCCTCGAGAGACGGAGCGACAGTTCCCTGCCCACGCCGCCCCCAGATCATCCTGGGTGTCCCCCACATTTGTCCTCAGCCCAGCTGGGCCTGAAGGCCTCTGTCAGGCATGACGGCTTCTGGCAAGACCATCGGTGGCGCCAGGCCCGTTGGTGTCCACGGTCAGACTCGTGGCTCCTTCATACCTGGTCCAGAACGCCAGCGCCGAAGACGGCCTCCTCCTCGGGGCGCTCCTCGTTGGCGACGGCCAAGCGCACGGCACCCACCATGTGCTGTGCCTCGGTGGGGAGGGCACAGTGTGAGTGTTCCAAAAACTTAGCCACCAAAACCCTGGCGTCCGCATAGGCCTTGCTGTCCACTGAAGAGCGCGGCCGCTGTTTGGAGGCTGCCGGGAAAGGCTCCGGTGTTGGCCGTCTGTCAATTTTCCAGGTATCTGGGTCCCCCGCTGGTGAAAGCTGGGCCCGACAGGCAGCCGTGGCAGAGCGAGACATGGAAGCTACAAATCAAGGGAAAACATGCAACGTGAAACTCACTGAAAGCAAAGTAAAAGAAAGGCAGCCGTTGAAGAAGTTAACTCAAAAGCAAAGGACAGTCTGCCCTCGGGAGGAGACTCCTGCTGGGGTTTCCGTGTTCCTGGGGCTGGCGCTCTGGGCACACCCGGCCACCCGCATCGCATCTCTCCTCCCCTTCTCAACCCCAAGCTGAGCTAGTGTCAGCCTCCGGGGGCTGCAGCCTCCAGGAACGAAGGCCTGGGGGGGAGGGCCACCGCAGCAGGCAGGAACCTGTCTTCCGCCCTCTGCTAGAATCCCAAGGACACAGCGGCTGGTCCCTCCCAGTCTTCTCGGCTCCACGACCTTTGCCCCCCTGGGTCTGATCTCTTGCTGGGGCTGAACCGTGGCATCTAGAGACAGGGTCTGCCTTAAGACCAGAGTTGGGGTGGCAGAGGGAACATGAGACCCCCCCCCATCATGCCAGGTGCAGGCAGCCACCGCCCAGTGCCCTGCTCCACTGCCTGCCAGGCCAGAGGCTGGGGACCTGACTCCAGCTCCCCACAGGGCTGACAGCCTCTCTGCATGACCCACAGGCTGGACACTGGGCTGAGGGTCCCTGTGAGAAGGCCAGCTCTGGCAATCAGTGGCGAGGGACGCCAACAAGGTCCAGCAAAGGCCTGGCTTGCCCAGCCTGAGCTTCACGCCACACAAAGTTGGCACATTCTGGGTGGTCTGTTCTGGGGTCTTGTTTGGTGGCGACTGGCAAGCCTAGCAATTAAACACGAGAAATGCAGAAACTCCCAGGTGGGCCCATCGCCCGGATGAAATCTCATAAAGTGGGCTGAGCAGCCAATGGGTGTTAAATTAGTGCTAGCCCTTGAAATAAGCGCACGGAGAGAGAAAAAGGAAGAGAAAGGGCCCTCAAAGCCAGAGAGTGGGCAGCCCCCGTTCTGGGGGATGGGGTGAGGAGCTACAATTGGAAACAATGTAGCCAAGGACACACCAACACCCGCCCCACCTCCCAGCAGCTGCAGTCAAAGCGCTTTAGAACAGAGGCATCTCACCGCTCCCAGGCACAGCCTCAGACAGCCCCGCGTCCAGGTCCTGGCTACACGACGGCTTGTGTGAAGAGGCATCACCTTAACCAGAAGGAGAATTCAGTGAACACATGAAAGGGAAAAAGGAATTCCTGAGAAAGCGATCATAACTCGCCGTGACTAAGACATGTATTTTATATGGTGAGCAAGCAGGAGAAACCTGCTGGGCTGACGCCCACCCAGCGGTGGATCAGACGGGAACCGCCCTGCAGCTGGCCAGGCCTGCCGTGTGTCAAGTGGTGTCCCGGGTCCTGCCCCGACACAGTGCAATGGGCCGGTGGCTCAAAGAAAGCCCAGCACCCTTCAAGGGAACACCCACCTGCACCCGAAGGGCTCCAGGCACCCTGGAAGGCACTGCCTGTGGCGTGCAGATCAGCCTAGCCAAGAGGGGACAGCAGTGTCAGGCAGGTGTGTGGGTGCCGAGGTGTGAATTTCACTGAGGGGGACAGGCCAAACAAAGCCATCAGGGGCCACAGACTGGACCCATGAGCCCCTCCAAGTATAGGGCATCCTCCTTCAAACCTCAGGGAGTGAATGTGAGCATGGTGGAGAGAGGCTCTGGAGCTCTGAATAAACCAGCAGAGGCGGGTGTTTCAGAAGGTTCGACGGGACTGTCTCCCTGTGAGCCGGCAATGGGATGCAGGAAGGAGAATGCAGAGATGACCGCAACCAGGGAGTCCACATGGGCCAAACCTGGTATTTCCACCAGGAGGGCACCTCCAGGCAACTAGCTACTGCGGGTCCCGGTTCCTTTCAGGGACTCGGTTCGTCCTGGCACAGCCAGGCTCCAGTAGGGGTCAGCTGGGCAAGACCATCGAGGGGAGACTGAGCCAGGACCCGCCGCGCCCTCTTCGGGGTTTCTGCACTTCCCTACCGCAGTGGCATGGAGGTCAAAGGTCCACCAGTCCTTATTGGCAGAAACTGTGCTTCCTCTCAAAAGACGGCAGTGAGGGCTGGGTGTGAATTCTCCAGCCCGGGGGGTGCCCAAGACTCTGGGGGAGTTAGTGTGAAATGCAAATTCCTGGGCTGCTGGCCACAGGGACCCGGTGCCAGGTCCTGGACTCCAGGGCACTGCCCGTGGACACAGTCGCCTGGGGCGATTTTCGAAATCTCTGGGCTATGTGGAGAGTGCTGCCAAGGTGCCTGGGAAGTGCTCCTGAAAAAGCACCCGTGTCTGCCTGGGGTGGCTCCAGCCGATGACACCCCCATACCCAGAGCTATCGTCGGGGGTCATCTGTCCTGTGCAAGGCTCTAGGCCTTTCCTGGGCCCTGGAGCACATGTGCAGCACTCAGCTAATGTCCTGGCCTGGAGCACATGTGCAGCACTCAGCTAATGTCCTGGCCTGGAGCACATGTGCAGCACTCACAGCTAATGTCCTGGCCTGGAGCACATGTGCAGCACTCAGCTAATGTCCTGGCCTGGCCCCCTGGCCCCCTGAATCCTTCCTCCCCTGCCAGAGTGACAGCCCGGTGGGGTGCAGAGGGGCCCTGGCTCAGGGGTCAAGACCACATTCCCAGTGTGGCCCCAGACAGGATTCGCAGGGCCGGGCCTCCACTCTCAGGGATCACTGAGACCTGCAGCGTCCAGGGAAAGCCGTCCACACTCTGGGGACTTGGGGGAGCCTGGCCACCCTACCTGCCATGCCAGATGTACACGAGGTGGGGTCACTGGTAGAGCGGGATACACGCCCGGGACCTGGCTGCACCTGTGAGCCCATGCCAGGATCCTCTGGAGACACGCAGCCAGGGTGAAGGGCAGATTCGGAGGGTGCTGAGGCGTCCACAGGGCCATCGGGGGATGGGCTGGAACCTGGCGTAGCGGTGCCCTCAGACACCAGGAGGCTCGTGCTGTCGGCTGGTACTGCAAGAGAAGGGATATGGCATTAGGGCAGGTGACTGCAGGGGACGCTGGCGTGGGACAAGGCCTGCCCCTCAAACTGCAGACCTGGATGAACTCTGAAACCCTGGGGGTGTGGAAACACTGAGTAGGATGGACAAATGCTGCTCTGTACTGTTGAAAGTTGGGGGCACCGGATGAGCTCCCGGAAAGCATTCCAGGAACGGCATGGGTCGGGGACTTAGACCCTTCACACTACACAAGAGACTACAAGTCAGAAATCAGACGCTTTGGTCGCCAGACGCTTTGGTCTGGGTGAACAGGGCGGGTGCAGGGGTACACAGCAGCTCCGAGGGACATCAAGCCATCCCCGACGGGTCCCGGTGGGCCTGAGATCTGGCCGACCCATGCAGGGGTGCAGCCCCGGGCCTGCAGTGCAGCCAGACAGGGTGGTGCAGGCAGGTGGGGCAAACTCCGCCCACAGGACACTGGCCTTGGCTCTCAGAGTGTGGATGCCAGGCCAGCAGCAGCAGTAGCCTTGCCCTGGGAGCGAGCCAGGAATGCAGACGCTCAGCTGGACCCCAGACCCACGGAAGCAGAGACCCTGGCACTGGGCCCAGCCACTGGGGCTGGAGTGAGCCCTCCAGGGAATTCTGATGCCCTCCAAACTGTAAGGACTGCTGCTCTGGACCGGGATGCTGGTCAGGGCTGGGCTCCGGCCCGTAACCACTCCACGGGGGCTGGATCGGAGTCTGTTTTAATGCCACCTCCACGGGGTGTGCATGCACGTGACAGCGTGATTAACTGCTCCTGCACTCTCCCCTCCAATCACCAGGTGCCCTCAGAGGCCCCTCCCGGCGCTGGAGTGGAGTTGCCTGCATGGGGGACACTTCAGAGATCACAGAAGCCTGAACTCCTCCAGGCGTGGGGGCTTCGGGTCTGCTCCTGGCATCCCTTTGTTTTTCCCTGCGTCTGAGAGCTTGCCCGTGGGTGACAGGCTTTTCACACCACCTTCCACGATTCATCCTCACTGCCTGTCTGTTACCCCCAGGTTACCCCCACCCCACAGCTGCAGAAATGGGCTTAGACAGGGAAGGGCTGAGGGTCACACAGCCACCAAGATGGTCCTCTACTCAGGAGAGTCCTGACCCCTGTACCCCGGCAGGAGCCTGGGTGCTGGAGTCTGGGTCAGCTGTAGGGTTCACCGCCCAGGTCGCGGGAGGGAGGAAGATGCAGCCCTGCTGAATTCTGGCCGAGGAGCACCCTGTCTATTTCCACCTGCCCTGAGATGGGAAACAGGAAAGGGCTCCCTCCGGTAGCACAGGCCCCCCTCAGCCCAAACCCCGGAATGCTACAGGTACGGCCGCCCTGTGACAGTGACTGAGATACACTGTACCCGGGGTTGCCCGGGAACGTCACTGAACGCCTTCTCGAACAGCCACTGATGGCTTGCAGTGACCAAAGGAAGGACAAGCTTGCTTCCAAATCCCACAACTGCAAAGACGCTGTGCTCTACAACCCCAGGTGGCCTCCCAGACAGGCAGCCCCTTCCTGTTTCTCTTAGATGTCGAGTGAGTGTTCAGCAGAGGACAGAGCGCCCTGGGACGATCATCCTGGCCCTCTGTGGGATCGCAGGAGTTACCTAACGTTGTTCTCCAAATCAGCCAGCCCACATGACCCCTCGCAGGGGCCTCAAGACGGTGGCTCTCTAGCTGGCCTGGCCTCCGTGCCCTCGCTCCCTCTGCTGTAAAGGGCCCTTCTGCTTTCCCGGAGCCTTAGACCACCTCCCCAGCCCCGGCTCTGCACGTGACTCCCACCCTCTGTGTTTGGGGATTTGACTGTTGCACACGTGTCCTTCAACGCCCTCAAGGACATGACTTCCAGCCTGCGCCCTCCTGCCAGCCGCCCAGCCCAGCCACCTTCTTCAGAGGGAGGTGCCGTGTGGACATTCGCCCGGTAGGTACAACTTTGGCTCTGGAAGGGGGACCCTAGATGGAATCGTGCTGTTCTTCAAATCCATACCCGTCAAGTGAGGAAGTGGGGCAAAGGGGGACAAGCTCTTCCCGGAGAGTGAGGAGCTCTCCCAGGTATGCTGACTGTAGTGGATGGAGGCACGGGAAGAAATGTGGGGAACATACAGGATATTTAATGGGAAAGGCTGCTGCAAACTCCAGCCCCTTAAAGAGTAAGAAATGGAGGGAGGAGGAGGAAGAAGAGGAGAATAGGGCGAGGACACAAAGAAACATCCTTGAAAACAGGAACATCCCAGTTCAGGAGCTGAAAGACGTAAGATTACCTGGAGTGCTGAAGCCAGCGCTGGTGTTTGGGTCCCCGGAGCTGGACTCGGCCACCTGTTGATCTATACTTGTAACCTACAGTAAGAAACGGAAAGCGTCAAGGCGGGTGGTCCGTGGGAACGCCGCACAGCAGCCTCCAGTAGTGCAGGCGCTTCAACTGGTCTCCTGGTGGGAAGCGCTAAGAGACGTTCACCCACAGCTCCACTCCTCTCCTCTACGTTTAGGAGGTGGGGCGTGAGGGTTCAAGTCGCCCTTGCCAAAGCCAAAGCCTAAGCCTAGTTTTCTTTTTTCTTTTCTTTGAGGCGGAGTCTTGCTCTGTGGCCCAGGCTAGAGTGCAATGGCACGATCTCGGTTCACTGCAACCTCCACCACCCGGGTTCAAGTGATTCTCCTGCTTCAGCCTCCTGAGTAGCTGGGACTACAGGTGCCCACCACTGTGCCTGGCTAGTTTTTGTATTTTTAGTAGAGATGGGGTTTTACCATCTTGGCCAGGCTGGTATCAAACTCCTGACCTCAGGTGATCTGTCTGCTTCGGCCTCCCAAAGTGCTAGCATTGCGAGGCGTGAGCCACTGCACCTGGCTGAAAGCCTCTTTTTCTGATCGTTTGCAATCCGAGCGCCCGACAGGGCCACAGAGCCACCTGAGCCTATGAGTTGCACGGTCATTGAGCTTCTGTGGCTTTCAATTTCTTTTTCTTTATTGATATATTTTAGAGACAGGGGGTCACTCCATGGCCCAGGCTGGAGTGCAGTGGTACAATCATAGCTCACTGCAGCCTCGAACTCCTGGGCTTAAGCGATCCTCTGGCCTCAGCCTTCTGAGTAGCTGGGATTATAGGCATGAGCTACCATGCCCTGCTTTTGGATAGACTCTGATTCTGCCTGGAGAGGCCTCGGAATAAGGGGAAGGCTACACCCCCTCTGCTCTCTGCCCCATCTTTGTTCTGCCCATTCTGTGTGGGCCATGATTTCCACCTCGGAGGGCATTAGGGCCTCCTGGATGCGATGTTTGGATGCGATACACACTATACACACGTCACATGGGCACCCCCATGCACCCCATGCTACCTCAGAAAACAATTTGTGAATCCTTGTGTTATTTCAGAATTGCTTTGGGGATACACTTGCAAATACTGAGCTCCAGAGGAGACTGGGAAGGTGAGGGGGCTCCTGCGGCTTGGTCCGATTCCAGCTCAGGTAATTACATCTCTGCCTCCCTCATCTCCCGCCACTTCAATCAGATAGCTGGTCTCCTTCATCTCTCCTCTTCAACCCGGCTGACACCCAGGGCGGGGGTTGGGGCTGCAGCCTTCCCACCCACACAAAGGGTGTGAGCTGCCCCCACGGCGTGGGGCTTGAGAGGGGGTTCCGAGACAAAGAGAAGATGGAGAGCTGCCCAAGTGAGTCCTTTGATTTCACTAAGATGCTTTCGCGTAATGCAGTCCATGCTATTTTTCTTCCTTAGCCCTCTCATTCTGCTGGCAGGGAACCGGTGAGGGGGAGTTCACCCCACTGTCAGCACCCACCTGCCTTTTCACTGAAGTCATTATGTGCCAATAACCAGTTTTGGAAAGCTCTGTCCAGAACCTTCCACGAATCACAAGAAGCGAACAATGCCCTAATGGTTTGTTTCATCCTGTGTCTCTCCTCCCATATCTAACCCTCTCTCGGACTTGCTTTTCTTTTGGATCATAGATGGGTGGTAACTTAGAACTCCGCTGTCTAAAAGAAAATCTTCTGGTAATAAAGAAATGTAAATAAAACAAAAGAAAGAAAATCTACTGTGGGACAAGGTCAGGAGGAAACCGGATTCCCTTCATGTTGTGCAGAAGCGTCACCCACTTCCCTCTGGCTCCTGGTCAAATTTGGTTTCCAGAGGAGACAGCTCCTGGGAGCGTATCTATCACCTCTCGCAAGCAGAGTGTCAAGAGTTTAATTTAAATGTGGCCCTTCCCTGATGTCAGAAGCCACCTTGCCACGCTAAGCCATGGGGAAAATAGCTTACACCAGGGGGAAGGTTCCTTTCATACAGCATTTTCGATGAACTATAACAGCAGTAGAAAAGGGTGGGGAAGAAATATATTTGTGGCAGAGAATTTAAGTTGAAATTTGATTTCAGCGAGGAAGCTCATAAACACAGCTCCTTGTAGGACAGCGGGGAGAGGGCTGTTGACAGGAGATGCTGCGGGAATCACTTCACCTGGATCTTTCTGGTCTGCAGATGTGCTATTCTGAACAGTCATCGTAATTGAAAAATCAATTGGCATTTCCACAAATAATTCAAATGTTACGAAGCGTGGTGGCTGAGATACTTGCATGGAAATTCTGCCCCATCCTGTGGTTTCTGTCTCACTCCTGGGTGAGGCCAACCATTTAGAACCAGATTTATGAAGAGCTGTTCTTTTGTGGCGATTCCAGCAATCATGGAAAATATGAGTTAAAATTTTAGGCTGGTGGCTCAAGGCAAACTTTGAAGACACTTTGCTAACAGATTTTACGTAGATCATAAGTTTTAGGACCTGGTGCTTGTCCCGGACTCTGCTGGTCCCTCTCCCTTCTCATGACTCCTTGTCTCGTGCTCAGGTTTCCTTCCACCCAGCACGCTGCCACCAAATTAAACTCCTAAAGCACCACTGGGTCACACCCAAGACGCCAGACTCCTCAAAGGCACTTCTTCAGGGGGGAGTTCACCCCACTGTCAGCACCCACCTGCCTTTTCACTGAAGTCATTATGT